CCCCGCCCGCTGGAGATGAGGCCCCAGATACTGCACTGGGAGGAGCAGCCGGCCCGGCGGCAAGATGGCCCGAGATAGGGCGGCCAGCCAGGTGGAACGCCTTGCTGGGTCTGGCTCCACAGCTCCGGGGAGCTGCACCAGGGCAGCAGGGCCTGAGGGGCTCCTCAGACACAGGACAGATGTGCCTTTCCAGGCAAAGAGGAGGTAATAATTCCTCTGCCCCAGGGACCATAGCTGAGGCTACCCGGTCATGTATTCATTCAACAAATGCACCCTGCCCCTTCTCTGTGCCAGGTGCTAGTCTGGGCACCAAGGGCAGAGAGGAGGCAGAAATGGCCTTGGCTATGGTGCTGGGTCCACAGGGAGGTAAAGAGGCCACACTCAGGACAGTGAGAGCTCTGGAGCCTGGGGAAGGGGGTGGAAGCTTCCTGAAAAGGGTGACGTCAGGGTGAAGCCTTGAAGGACATGCCAGCGCTGAGAAGATCAGAGGCAAGAGGAGTGGGCCCTCATGGGGGCTGCATGGGGTTCAGGCTGCTGGGGCACAAAGGAGGGGGTAGAGGGGCAGCCTGAGAAGCAGACAAGCACGGGCACAGACCAGATCCTGAACACCGAGACAGGAGTTTGACTTTCCTTTAGATGTGGAGGTTGTCATGAAGCAGGTGGCTATGAAGTTATTGGTGAAGGATGGATGGATGGGTGGATGAGTGGATGGGTGGGTGCGTGGTGGGTGGATGGATGAATGGGAGAGTGAACAGATGGGTAGATGAGTTGGATGGATGGATGGGTGGGTCAGTGTATGAGTGGATGGATGGATGAAGGAATGAGTGACACAGCCTTTGCCTCCGAGGAGCTCACAGACGACATGTGAACATCCGTCTCCAGGCATAGGCAGACCGTAGTCCATGACGTGCTGGAGCTCTATGAACCTTGGGAGGGCAGAGTAGGTTTGGGTTGTTTACCTGGAGGACCTCCTGGAGGAGGAGGAGGCTGAACCCTCATCAGAACCACCACCACCCTTCAGCCTCTGCAGCAGCTTAGGTTCTGAGTAGGGACATTCCTGTGCCCTTGGGAGGAAGCTCTCACTGTCCCCATTTTACAGATGGACAGTGGGGCTGACTGAGCAGCAGGCCTGGCTGAGTGGCCCCAGAGGCCTGAGCTGTGGTCACTGCTTGTGGGAAGGATGCTCCAGGCAGAGACACAGCACAGACAGAGGCGTGGGGGCTCAGGGCACGGCGTGTGTGAGGCCGAGGCCTGTGAGGGCCAGACCGGATTTTGGCCTCTGGGCCATAGGTGCTATTGCAGGCCCATGGGGCAGAGTGACTCTGACCAACTCAGGGGCCATGGTCGTATCTGATTCAGCTCTGGGGTCCCTCGTGAACCCAAGGCTGACCTGCTGTGGGACTGGGAGGTGTTTGGTGCCTCACAGGTGATAAAAAGGCATAAAGGAAATGGAGGCAGGCAGGGGTGGCCTCCAGGACAGACAGGAGGCAGGAGAACAAGGAGGCTGCTGATGGGGCCCCCGGCGGGGAAGACAGAGGTCAAAGAGGAGGGAGAAGGCCAGGTGGAGTGTCTCATACCTGTAGTCACAGCACTTTGGGAGGCTGAAGTGAGAGGCTCGCTGGAGACCAGGAGTTTGAGACCAGGTTGGGCAACACATTTTTAAGTTTCTACTGAAAGTTTAAAAATTAGCCAGGTGTGGTGGCATACCTATAATCCCAGCTACTTGAAAGGCTGAGACAGGTGAATCACCTGAGGCCAGATGGTAGAGGCTGCAGTGAGCCACGATCATGCCACTGCACTCCAGCCTGGGTGACAGAGCAAGACCCTGCCTCAACAAAACAAAACAAAACAAAACATACAGACAGGCATCCATCTATCCACGCACATACCCAGCTGCCTGACCAGGGTTGGAAATGGGGTAAAGCTGTGAACTGAGATGAGACGCAGGCCGTGGGGAAGCAGGTCGGCAGGACCAGGACTCCTCAAGGACAGAGCAGCTACAGGACAGGGCTCTGAATTGGTCAGTGGCCAGAATTCTCATACCAGTGCCATCCCAATGTCCGCCAGGCCCTGGCTAAGCCTCAGTCTCCTCATCTGCGCAATGGGTGCAATGCACTTTGCTGCCCTCCCCGCACTCTTTAACAGCCCCTGTCCTGTGCAGCTGTGGGGCACACGAATAGCCTGAGCCCTGGGAAAAGGGTAGTGGCTTCATAGTGGCCCTTGGGGTGCAGTCCTCCTCTCAGCAGCTTAGTGCTCATCATGGCAGTGGGGGTGAGCATGGGGCGGGGCTCCCCCAAAGTTTCCATAAGAACCGAGTCCGGACCTTCACAGGTCACCCCGTGCTGGGACCCTGGTCCCCATCCCTCAGCATCGGGCCTGTCCCACCCTCTGCTTCCTGGGGACCACGTTGTTCTGCAGGTCAGCTGGAAAGCAAAAGCTGACTGCTGCCACAGTTAAGTGCCACTGATGCAGGGAGGGGTCATAAAGCAACAGACATTTATTCTCTCACAGTTCTGGAGCCAAAAGTCCAAAATCCAGGTGTCGGCCTGGTCACACTCTAGAGGCTCCAGGGAAAGATCCTGCCTGCTTCTTGCCGCTTCTGGTGGCTCCTGGCATTCCTTGGGTCATGGTCACATCACTCCAGCCTCTGCCTGTCTTCCTCCTTGAGCTTCTGTCTTCCTTCTGACTCTTCCAAGGACACTCTCATTGGATTTAGGGCCTGTCTGCTGACTCCAGGATTTTCTCACCTCTATCCTTTCCTTAATCACATCTGTAAAGACCCACTACCAAATAAGGTCACTTTTGAGGTTCCAAGTGGACATGAATTTGGGGCATTCCTATTCAACCCACTCCGGTTGGCATGGGGCCCAGGGTGGTGTCCCTGGTGGGCGAGGGTGAGATAGGCTGAGCTTAGAGGTCTGCCCATTACCTGTCTCCATTAGATGGAGGCCCAGAAACCTCTCCTCAAGCCTCTTCACAGGTGGCGGTGGCCTTTAATGAGCAGCCATGTGGTGTCTGTGCAGAAAGAACCCTCAAAGCCCCCCCGTGGCTATGCAGGTGTGAGTGACCAGCGCCCAACTTGACCTTGGTGTGAGTGACCTTGCCCAACTTGACCCGCTCTGACCTTGGTGTGTGGTCTCCCCTAACATACGGGGCAGGTTAGTGGGACCGACAGAGGCCATGCCTGGGTTGGGAGAAGCTGTAGTGTCTTCCCTCTACACTAACCCAGTGAAGGCAGTGGGGAGGACCTGGGAACCGTTGTCAGGACAGCTCTGGGTTCCTTTCTTGGTGTTGTGAGGTTGGAAACCATTGCTGGGGACAGGAACTCTGCTAGCTGGCCACAGCCCTTCCCTGACCACCCAGTCCTGCTGGGTGAGCATATCATTCCCACTGTCAGATGGAAACCTGGGGTCCTAGGGGGATGACTCGTCCATCATCCAGAGCTGAGATGCCACACCCCTGGGCTGGTGGGACCACCCAGGTGTGCTCTTTCCATCCCGTCCAGTGGCTGATGCAATCGTTGGGCTTGAGGACCACTTTCAGTCCTCACCATGGGCCAGAGGGTGAAGCAGAAGCAGACCATGTCCCCAAGGGGGTCACAGGCCAGGCCTGCGGCTTGGGGTCGGGAAATGGGCAGGCATGCAAGATACCGTGGAAGAGGGCGAGCGGGCACCTCCCCCTGGCCCGAGGCTTGGAAATGCCTGCACCAGTGACGGTAGGTGAGTTGTCTTCTGTCGGCATCAGGCCAGAGCACCTGCCAGGCTCCTGGACTGACCAACATCCCCTGGAAGGAGTTTGGTTCACCAACTCCAAGACTTCCTTCCCTACCTGGCTGTAACTGAGCACTCTTTCCAGAACACAGGCCACACCCCTTATTCTGGAAAGAATGCCAAATGGCCCTTTCCGGGAACACCCCAGTGGGGGAAGAACCACAGCCTGGAGGAGTGGCCCCTGCCTCAGCCCTGCAGCTCCTTTGGCAGAAGGGGCTCACGCCGCACCCTTCCAGGGGTCTCCTGGGGCAGGAGGAACGATCTCAGGGCCCTGAGGTTCCGGCTGCCACTGGCGCCACTGTCGCTGAAGAAGGAAACGGCACATTCTTGAATCCTGTGATCACTTCCCGGGAGAGGCTCTGGCCCAGGGGACCCAGCCAAGCGAGGATGCGGCCCCTTGCTCTGCAGACAGCTGCCCAATCTGCTTCATCGGCCGACGGTCACCAGCCTGGCCATGCAGGGTCTGAACGTTCCCCAGGCGGGCAGGAGGGTGCAGGCTAGGCTGCCTGGCCTTGATGAAGACTGGGAGATAGGGGCCAAGGGGAGGGAGGAGGGAAGGGACGCAGAGCATGGTGGGGTGGCTGCCGCCTGACAAGCCACAGTGGGGACACCAGAGAACCGCCTGTTCTGCACACCCTCTAGCCTGGATGTGCCTGTGAGGTCTCTGACCATCAAGACACATCTGAGGGAGTCAGCAGCCTGGGGTGGACTGAATCGCCCCTGACGGGCCGCCACCCCTGGGGCCACCATCTGGTCAGCTTCTGGGGTGGCACCTGGCCGGGGGCATGCTCAGCAAGCAGTGTGGCCAGGGCAGGGGAAGCTTCCAGGCTTGAAGAGCAGGTGCTAGTGGAAGGAGTGGCTTTGGTGGGGAGGGGACGGGTCCAAGCAAAGATGAACAGGGGTGAGGGTGATTGACAGGATTGAGGAGGGGCCGGAGGCAGGAAGAGGGTCCCAGACATGCTTTCCAGGGGTCACCCAGACACTCAGTCCAGATTTTGGTCCATGCTCTCAACACTGATACCCCTCAGCCCAGCCACCAAGCCCTGCAATTCCAGTTCTCAATATTCCCCAAACCTGTCCCGACTTCTTGCTCAGAACACCTGGGCTCCTCCCACCTTCACTCATCCTGTGTCAGGCTTCAGCTCCCCCCTCCTCCACCCCAGTCTCTTCAGTCTTTGCCCCAGGACACTGTTGCACAGAGCAGAGAACACCCCCAGCTTTAGGCTGCCAGCCTCGGGCCCACCCAGCACCCACCTGATGCATACTGGGCCCCATTTTTCCCTTTAGGCTGGATGGTCTCCAGACCCTTGCTCATGCTGAGTCCTTCCTGGAATACCCTTCTCTTTGTCAAAAGCGCTCCTACTCATCCGTGAATACACAGTGTAGGCACTACCTCCTCCAGGAAGCCCTCTCCTCCCTCAGTGCCATCACCCCAGCAGACCAGGCTCTCATGGGCTCCTGCAGCCCCCGTACTGCATGTCCTTTTCCTTCTCTGTGTCCCACGCTGGACTGCGATCCCCAGAAGTCCTCTCCGATGTCCGGGGTCTCATGCTGCCGGGCCAGGGAAGGTGCTTGGGCAGTAGCCCTCTCTGTGCGATTGCTTCCCTCTCCCTCTTTTTCTTGCACTCCTTCATTCATCGGTTCACTGGGGAACTTCTCTGGGCCAGAGTGGGGGCTGACAGCAGGTGCCCCGTGACTGTGAGTTCTGGCCCGGGGGACAGAGGGTGGCCAAGCCCATGCAGAGCTGGGTTGCCGAAGTGGGCCGGCAGAGCCCCGACAGCTGACAAATGGCCCTTCTGCAGCCGTGGGGCGGAGGCTAATGATTCCCCATCTTTAATCAGGCCCCGCTGGCAGGGCCCTTTCGATCCGGGTAAATAAGTATCTGGGGTCAGGGCTGGCTCTGGGAATCGGCCTTCCGGGGCCACGGAGGGAGGCCCAAGGAAAACACACGGCTGCACCCACCGAGGGCCCTTGTGGAGCTGGGGAGAAAGAACAATAATGGGTAGGCTGGGCTGCCGGCTTCCCAGCACGCCTGGGCCTCGCTGACCCGGGCACCCACCTCCCCTCGCCCACCCCTCAGACCTTGGACAAATGTGCCCCAAGCACCGTGGACACACCAGGCTGCCGCGAAGCAGCCATTTGTCAAGCACCAGGCCTGAGGGTGGGGAGGAGAGATGGGGTTGGGGACTTATTAAATACCCACTGTTAATGCACTTATTCTGTACCTACTGTTGCTGGACCCACCCCCTCCTGCTGCCCTGTGACACTTCCCCAAGTCTCAGTTTCCTCATCAGTGCGCCAGTGATGGTCTGGCAGCTCCTTGAAGGGTTGTGAGACTCTAACAAAATACATTCGATAGACATGCACCAAGCTCTGCCAAGTCCCGAATGTTCTCACCGGACCCTCACAACATTTGATGCGACAGGCATCTATTGTTAGCAGCCCCACCTTAACGGGTGAGGAGACTGAGGCTCAGAGAAGGGGAGACACTTACCTGTGCTGGCCCAGTGGGAAGCAGAGGATGGGCAGGGTAGGGACCTGGAGGGCGCCCACCTCCGGCCACGCCATGCTGAGCAGCTGCTCTGTCACCCGCAGGTTCTAGAGGACCGGATGCAGCTGGAATGCAAGTGCCACGGCGTGTCAGGCTCGTGCACCACCAAGACCTGCTGGACCACGCTGCCCAAGTTCCGCGAGGTGGGCCACCTGCTTAAGGAGAAGTACAACGCAGCCGTGCAGGTGGAGGTGGTGCGGGCCAGCCGCCTGCGGCAGCCCACCTTCCTGCGCATCAAGCAGCTGCGCAGCTACCAGAAACCCATGGAGACGGACCTGGTGTACATCGAGAAGTCGCCCAACTACTGCGAGGAGGACGCGGCCACGGGCAGCGTGGGCACGCAGGGCCGTCTGTGCAACCGCACCTCGCCCGGTGCGGACGGCTGTGATACCATGTGCTGTGGCCGCGGCTACAACACTCACCAGTACACCAAGGTGTGGCAGTGCAACTGCAAGTTCCATTGGTGCTGCTTCGTCAAGTGCAACACGTGCAGCGAGCGCACCGAGGTCTTCACCTGCAAGTGAGGCAGCCCCGCGGGCACCCCGCCCACCAGCGGTGTTTTGCACATCCTCACCTTGCCTTCCTTCTTGGGCGCTGCCGCTGTGGGCACAGGTGGGCGCAGAAAGCGGGAGCTTCAGGTGTGGAAGGGCACCGGCTGGGGCTGCACCCCTCTCCCCGCCCCCTGGGGGCTCCCACCTGCCACCCCCTCTGTCACCTCCTGTGGCAGAGCCATGCCCGACCTGCCCAGAAGGCAAGGCCAGCGGTACTGGCGCTCCCAATGGGGCCCAGCAAATTCCTTTTCTTTTCTCTGGGAAAGTGAATCTCCAGGACGAGCATGTATCCCAGAGAGCAAAGTGACCACAAGACCGAGGGTCCCCTGCCCCGCCTGTTGGCACGGACACAGAAAGGCCATGCGGCCAGTCACACAAGACTGTTTCCATGGCCGAGTCTGCCACTGGGCCCCAGGGCAGTGTGGATAGATGTTGACAAATTTTATTTATGTTTTCTTAGTATCAGAAGAGGATTCTCAGCACTAAAGCGTAGCCAGTCCTAACTCCCTATTCCGTGTCGGCCCCTCTCCTAGACACCCTCTCTGCTTCCTCTCCTGGCCTCGGCTCGGCAGGCCCTCTGTCCCTGCAGATCCGATGCAGCCCGGGGTTGGTAGGGACTGCACTGCGCCCGTGGGTCCCAGAAGTGAGCTGGTCAGGGGCTCAGTGGGCCACATGGTCCTGCAAGTGCCTCAGAGGACAGCTACAGGCAGGGTCCCCTGGCCCGTCTTCCCATCTTTTAAAAATCATATTAAGCAAATCAAAATGTCACCAACGTCAGGTTCCAGGAGTGCCTCATCCCTGCCCCAATCCTGTCACTCTTCTGGCCTGACACCTGCAGTTTACAGAGCCCCCTTCCACCCTGCAGCCAGCCTGACCCCCAGGACAGCGCTGTGATGGGGCCAGGCAGGCGGGCAGGCAGAGGAGTGGTCAGGGATGTTTGCCCCATTTGACAGATGGGGCCACTGAGGCCCAGAATGGCACAAGGACATACCAGAGACCCTGTGGCTGTGAGTGGAGGTTCCAGCCCTGGCTCCTGCCCAGCCTGGAGGACACCCAGGATGGCGTGAAGCAAACACACTCTGGGGACACCCAGGATGGTGGGAAGTGGCTCCCCTCATGTCTTGAGAAACCTGGCTGCTCCCTCCCCCGCCACCTGCCCCTCTGGGGCCCGCGCCGCTCTTGATGCCTTTGTGGGTCCTCCTAGCCCTGTCCTGGTCGTCTCACCCTGACCCTGATGCTGAGAAAACTCAGATCCAGGGCTGGATGTGTCTTTTCTGGGTGCGCCCACCCCTCCTTCTGAGTCACAGAAGGAAGTACTTGCCCAAGACCAGAGAGGATGGTCGGCAACCGGCTTCTGGTGTGCCCTCCACTGCCCACGACCCTGTGCCCCATTTAGGGTGGTTCTCAATAGAAGCCCACAGAAATGTGTTCTTGGGCAGCTGACGAGCCAGGTGGCCTGGACTTCAGCCTGGGGCAAGTGACCCCTGCCTGGGCCCTGGTCCTGGCTTCCAGCCCATGTGCCCCCAGCCATGCCTGGACGCTCTGAGCCTCTGGGCCACCGTGAATGCCTCACCCTCACCCCCACCCTAGCCCCACTCCTAATCCCCCAATTCCCACAGCACCCCTGAGTCCATAGGCCCGAGTCCATAGGCCCAAGGAATCTGGTTAACTTATATTGTTATATAGCGTCGAAATGTCTATAGTGTCTTTAAATTATTGTGACCTACACTGGGTACCGGAGGTGGGGGGAATGGCTGCGGCCACCATCCCCCGAGCCAGACTCCTCCTTCTGCTTGAACGGACCCTCGGGGCACCTGACGCCACCGAGCCACTCGCACTGTCCCTTGGCCACTAGGCACCCCGCCGAGACCCTGTGGTCCCCTGAAGTCTGTCAGCAACGGGCCCTTTGCTTGGGTGAGAGAGAGGGCTCAGCGTGGCCTAGGTGGGGGTCTTGCTGCCCACTAGCCTTGTGCAGGGGCGATGGCGGCCGAGAAGCTGCATGTCCCTGAAGTGCTCCACTTCTGATGGCGTGTTGCTGGCCTCCCCAGGGCGGGAGCGCTCGGCCCCAATAAAAGCTGGAATCAGAGAAGTGAGTGTATGTGGAGTCACCACGCGACACCCCTGCCGTCCTTGCCTGCAGGGGTGGGGAGACACGCGCTGCCCGCTGAGACAGGCCCCCTTGGCCCTCACATGCTTCCAGTCCTTCTGACTCACAGCCCTCTCCCTGGACTCTCCCTCCCCCCCTCACACCTGAGACCCTCGCCCAGAGCCCAGCCTGGAGCTCGAGTCATGCCTCCCTCCAGGCACCTTCGGCCGACCTCACCCAGCAGGGGCACGGGTAGGGGCTGGACACAGACCCTGAGGCCTCGCTGGGCAGCACTGGGCTCAGGCTGCAGGGACAGGAGGGCCATGGGCCTCGTGCCTGGGAGCCAATTCCTGAGGCTGCTCTTAGGAAAAGGGGGGCCGGCAGCCCTGGGCCTGGCCCCAGCTGCCTTGTGCTTCTGTTCTCCTTCTGATCTGAGGTGGGGTTGGCCTCAGGGTCCCCGTGGGTCTGTCCAGCTGTGTCTGGCTCAAGATCCCCCCAGTGGCTCTCCTTGCTCTCTCAGGACTGGGGAGGCATCTCGGGGCCCCTGGATGCTTGGTGGTGGTCCCTGGCTGGCCACCAGGCCTTGCTGCGTCTCCCCAGTGCCCAGCCCGCAACCTGCAGTGACCGTGCACGTAGGGGCCATGAATGGCCTACCTGCTGAGGGCCAGAAGGCATGCGGCGGGGCCGGTTTGGCCACTGCCCGCTGTCCCCAACACACTGGCATCAGAAGGAACTGCTGATCAAACAGCCTCCGTCCTCAGTACATCCATTCTGGGTACCCACAGAAACTGACCCCAGACCGAGATCCAGCAGAGGTGCCTCCAAGTGGACTTTTCGAGGGGACGCTCCTCCTCCAGGGAGTGGAGGGGAGTGACGGACAAGAAAGAGCACCGGACTTGGAGTCCAAGCCCTGTCCCTTCCTGACCTGTGGGCAGCTTCTGGGGATGAGCCCATCTGGTGGATGGCCTCAGTCTCCCTCTCTGGGAGCAGGAGGTGGCCTGGGGCCAGGACTTGGTGGTTGGTGGGGCCCCTGGGGCTGGCGTGCGTAGGGCCCAGGTCGAGGCTGGGCAGTTTGGCAGGAGGCCCTGGTTCCCCATGAGACGGTAAGCAAATCCGCAGTGGCGGCTGCAGAGGAACGCCGGGGTCCGGCTACTCCCACAGGGCCAGGAATGAGGAAGCGCTCTGAGAATGCCACAGCCCCAGTGCCCAGACTGTACTCATTTCTTGGCTCTGGTTCAACGCAGCCCAGCCCCCTGGGCCACCCTGCACATCCTCCACGGGGCCCTGCCTGAGGCATCGCACCCACGCTGCCGGGCATGGCTTGGGGGTCCACCTGGCCTCAACCCTGTCTAAGGTTAATATTTTGGGAGCATTCCCTAAGGCCAGCCCTGCATCTCTACTCAATGCTCATTATCGCCCCAGGGCAATGCCCCCGCATTCGACTCTGGCCAGCCCAGCTCTTTGCTGGCCATTGCCCACAGTGGGGCCTTCCTGCCCCTCTGATTTGTCCAAGCAATTCCGGCACCAGGCTTGCCTTCCCGCAGCACTCTGAGAGAGTGCAGAATCACCAGACAGAGCGATGCTGGTGGCTTCACTGAGTAGGATTTGGGGACCCAGCAGCTGGGAGGGCCCTGAGTCCTGGGAGCACACCTCTGCCACCTGTCTGCCTGTCTGCTTGCTCCTTCTATCCTTCAGCTCCACCCTGGGTTGGCTAGGCTCCAAGGGTCCCAGCCTTTCTCCTCATTCTCCCAACCTGTGCAGAGCTGTCTGTGGGGCAGCTCGTTTTGGGGGAAGCAACCACGGACTGAGGCAGCCCGGGAGAGAGGAAAGGGCTTTCTTTGCACCAACTCTGCCATATCCCCGAGCCTTGACTTCCCCCTCTGTAGAATGGGCATAAGTGAACAAAGACGACCTTGGTGCTGCCTGAGTCCCCGCCTTTGTTTATAGGACACCTCGTCCATGTTTACTCAGCACTGGATTTCCCTCATGGCTGAGCACTGGGGTCTCCCTCACACCTCTACCTCCCTCCCACAGGGCTGCCCGTGCAGTCCATGCAGCTGCTGTCTGGTGGCCAGAGCACATAGGGGTCCTGTGGCTCTGGTGGGCAGAGCTGTCTCATTGGTGCGGCCTTCAGAGTCTTTTTTGAGCCTCTGCCTGGCCTCCCACAGCCCGCCCCCCCCCCCGTCCCC